TCTCTTCTTTCACTCTTTCCCCCTTGCACTCCCTCCTTCCCCTTCCTCTTGGATTTACATCAGCATTTTGCATAATTTCTGACAAAAATATTTCTGCACTGGCATGGAGAGGATGCCATACAACCGCTACATGAACAATCCAGACATTTTGCATTAATGCACATTCTGGCTACAGGGCCTTTAATATTTATTCCGTAGTCAAGAGTAATTGAAAACGCTCATTTCACTATTTACAGTTCAGGATTGGATAGGATAGTAGGAAGAACGCTGCCAGAGTGCTGTGGGTAAGAAGAAAAGTACTTTTTTGTGTAATGTCTTTTCTGGAGAATCAATTGCCTCTTCTTGTTGCTAAGGTTCTGGTCAGCCTTGAGGGTACTGCTCACCAACTCACTTTCCTCATGGGTCAGTAAAAGCTGAGGATGCTCAGCAGCTCTCAGAGTTTGCTTTATATTTTACAAGCCTTGAAGAAATAACCTGAAAGGTCTCAGAATCACTTGTTTTTGGTTCAATGGTTCATGTCATCACCAACTATCATGCTGAAAAAAGCTATTTTAATTCTGGTGTGTTCTGTGCCATTAGAAACAACACAATTCACAGTAGATGGTACAACTATAACCAGACTAATATGTTTACACTGTGAAGTTCCATTGAAATATGACATTAAAATAAGCATAAGGGCAAAAACAACATTGTCTAAAACATCTTTTAATAGCTAAGATTTATATGTAATAACCTAAGATTTATATGTAATAACCTTTCAACTCTTATTAAAAACAGCCTAGGCATAAAATCTGCTTGATGTGTACCTTAATTTTAATGATTTTTATGATCCATTTGTCAAAAAGCAAACACTAGCCATTGGTGAGTAAAACCTTGCAAAGCTGGTATTTTTCTTTTATACTGCTCAATTTTCCTACTTTGCATTTTTATACTGTTAACAGATGTTTTTTCTTCTTTGTTCCTACAGAGAGCACATGGCACCTCTCTTCTCTCCTAAAAACCTACATTGGCTGCAAGATTTTAGCTTCTCCTTTAAAAACTAAAAAGGTTACTCAATAGGAATAAAAATTCCCATAACATAACATAAAAATAAAGGTAAAGCCAATGGGACAACAGATAAGAGTTGCTGTAAAAGATACTCAACTGTAAACTTTGCAATTTCAGAAAACAGTGCTGTACTTTTTTTAACTCTGAAAAAACATGGAACTCGATAACATGTGTCAGAGTAATATATAAAATTAAATGGTAAACCTTAGCCATATTAAGACATACACATTGCTGAAATACTTTTGAGTATCTACCTATTGTGTACAGCTGAGGAGAGAAAGGGTATGCATCCTATTGCAGGAAATTATTTTTACTTTCATAGCCACCAGAGGACCACTGACAGCATAAATCATGTGATAAATTACTTGATCAGATATCTAAACCACAGATTTTCTACCACAAATGCTTGTGATATGTTATGATTTGCTTTAATTTACTCTGGTTAAAATAATCCATTCAAGGTTCCCCATAATGCTATGTGTTATTTACATGTAAGGTATTTCTGTATACGTTTTATTCTGATGCAGGCAGATTATAGCATTAGCAGTGTATGGGAAAAAAAATAAATAAATTAAAAATCATTTTCCAGGCCTAACTTACAGTCATATGGTGGTTTCTGGATCAGGCCACGTACCTGTCTGCTGATGAAAAGATTCATTATCCCTCTTTATTTAATGCAACAACCTGGTTAATATCAACAGATTGCAGTTTAAGATAAAAGCAGAAAATGACTGTCCTGTTTCATCCAAGGGGCTTAGGAGAGGCATCCCCCAAAAAATTCAGTTTGAAAACTGAAAAACACCTTTTTCTGGGTTAGAAAACTTTTTCAGCAGCAGGAACTAGGTAAGAAGAGTGAGAATGAGAACGATTCTTTTCTTCATAATCTTACTTAAAATGCTGAATATTATATTCCAGACATTTTAGAATCATCCTGACCTGACCTTACATGACACCTCTATGCCAGAGCCTGTCTGAATAAAATGGTCCATTTCACCATTCCCATACAAATAGGTCTTACCATATTATTTAGTCATATTTCAGTCTGACTTGGGCTAAAATGCTTTCCCAGCCCAGAAAGCATTGAATTATTTCTCCTTTGTGAAGTGTTAAGGGAAAACAAACACACAACTGGTTCATCTTCTACATTAGTTATTTAGACAGGCTCTGAAAATTAAGAAAAGTTTTATTCTATTTAGTATTTGTTGTAAACTACAACAGTCTCTTAAGTAAGATATTTCATTATAAAATGTTTCATAAAAAATGCATTACTGTTGAGCTTTATAGATGAAACAATTTTTCGAGCACTGTTTGTACTTACACACAGAAACTGGACACTTCTGATCCCATTATGAAAATATACTTGACCCTTATTTTTCTTTTGTTATGAGGCCTGAATTTTAATAAGGCCTTTAAAGACCTCACTAATACCAGTGCAGGACATTTCCTGTTGCTGTTTTTGTTCTCATGCGACATTTCATTAAACACTTTGGCTGAATACAAATATTGAGAGCACTGCATGAGTCTGGTTACATTTTTTGACAAAAGTGATCAAGAAATATTTTTATGTTTGTTATGAAACATTTATATTTATATGTGTTTATGTATTTACTACATAAATATGTAATATGTTGGAGGTAGGTTATGAAATGGAAAGTGCATCTGAAAGACCAACAACAGTTGAACTAATTTGAATGTTCAAATTAAAAATATGTTGTTGCCAAATTGGAAAATAAAAAAGTTAGGGTATGATTAGTTCCTACATGAAGAAGTCTCATTTTATTTGATATTCATGAGTGGCTCCATTGCTGTGAATGGAGCTTTGCTGCTGACTGATCTTGCAGAGTTTCCTTTGCCTCTTCCCTTGGATGGCTCAGTTCCATGGGACACTGCATGTGCCTGTATCCAGCACAGAATGAGGCTACACCATACATCACCAACCTGTATGCCTCTGGAAAGCCTTCCTCTAGTCTCCCACTATTGCACTCTTTTTGTTACTCAAATGATAAAAATAAGTCTTCTGCAAAAATGGTGCCAGACCATCTAAATTGTTTGACAAGCAGGCAGTGTTCAGACAACAAACTAAAAGCAAACATACCTTGCTTTCACAGCCTTGTCAAGGGAAAAAAACTATGTAAAGCCTCTTGTCCTTCACCATGTTGTTAAATTACAGTTTAAATGGTCATCTGTATGGCAGCTTGTAAAAATTGTTAAAATAACATTATAATTTCTATTTGCATTAGAATATTAATTGAAAAACTTTTATTATAATAAGATAGTTCCAACAGAATCAAGATCTATCTTAAATTAGAGGAACTGTAGAATATATATTTTTTATAAAAATATATTAATTTTATAGCGTGTATACATATATATACATACACATGCATATGTATGTAGATATATATAATAGAATTGTGTTTTACATATGGGATGTATTTAAAAATGACCAATGCTTAATTCTGAAATGATACTTTGGTAACTAGATTAAAAAAAAAAAAAAAAAAAGTTCTCTTTAGAATGCCAACTTCATTGCTGTTCTCAAATGAATAACTAACTTTGTATTTTATGTGGTGACATCAATGAATATTTTCACAATGAAGCACTAATTTATAGGAAAATATTAATAATTTGCCAAAAATGAAAAAACAATAACCTTTCTCTGCTGATTGTCCCCTGGAAATTATATTTGGCTTATATTGTTTTTCTCTAATCAGAAATAAGATTTTTTGTTGATTTTAATAATCTATTAAAATAGTGTGTCAAAACTATTTATAGTATTAATTAATTATCTTAGATAATGTTTTATATCTTTTGAGGCAGGAAGGTAAGTTTTATTATCTTCACAATTTTACAAATTGAGGATAATTTTGAATTTTGCATTTGCCATGTAACCTTCCAGCAGAAGGGTACTTTTTAATGTTTCTGTTCCTAGAGCTTCAGAAGCCTTCTGCCTCATCAACAACTTCATGTAGCTGTAGCTGAAGTAGCTTCAATGCTACCCCACAGGTACAAGCTCATGATACTAAATTAGAGTTCCACCAGGAACTGAATATTTAGCACTAAGCTGTGGACAGTTGTGTGTGCTTGGTCAGCCAGAGGAAACTGTGCAGAAAAGGCAGTAATTCTACTTTAAGTGCAAGGGGCACTCAATTTTTCATCAAAGAAAGGAAAACAGACTCTGAGGTAGAAGATAGGAGGTTTGCACAAGACCAGAGAGAGAAAATGACAGCTATGATAGGATAAAAAATGAAGTACTCTTGTCTCCCGCACTGTCAGCCTTTCTATGTCATTGATTTTTACATAGATTTCCCCATTAAAATCAACGAAGACTTCTTTTTAAATGCTGAGAGCAAGATATAATCTATATTCTGTATAACCAAGAGCTTTCTATAAATGAAACTGTCCTCAAACACTTCTTTTGTGGGATTCAGACTAAAAAATGAAGCAGTTCATTGGCTTAAGTATTACTTTGCATTGTCACCATTTCCAAACATGACTTGTTATCTTTGTTGAAGGCTTCATCAGCCTGAAAGATGAGCGCAGAAATAGAAGTCCTCTGGAGAAGCGACAGGCTCTGTTGTAGAACAGCAATGTCTAGCTCTGTCACAGTCATTTTTTGGTGTGGTTTGCACTGACTCAAACGATAAGAATAAAATGTCTGCATTTGAATAACTGTTTTTGTCCCATGTCATACAGCTGATTTATAGTATGTGTCACTACATTGACTGTTGGTTCATACAGTAAATTCATGTTTGAAAATCCGCAGACACAAATTTAAGTATTTATTAAAAGCTGAGTGTAGCAAAATTAAGTTGATGTTAACTGCCATGATCACTTGCCTGAATCTTACCAGCAACTTCCAGGTATGTTTAGGAACATATTGCATGACACAGTATGTGACTTTTGAAAAATGTCTACACACAAGCTTTCATAAACCTTTATTCTGTCTTTAGAATTTGGAATGATGGGAGATCATACAATTAAAAGTCAGCGACCTCGATCTGTTCATGAGAAAAGGGTCCCTCAGGAACAAGCTGATGCTGCTAAATTTATGGCACAAACTGGTAATACATCAGTTACATTTTTCTATTTACTGTTGTTAATTTTAGCAAAACCACTGCATGTTTCCATAATCTTTTGCTGCATATTTGTCAGTTTTCTAAGCTGATACTTTTTTTGAATCATTTATTTTTTTTCACCAGTTAAAGTCCATAAATGAAGTAGCGGAGAATTAGGTAGATCATACAAAAACATGCACTGTGAATGTGGATACTGAATTGTTTAGTGTTAAGTGTGAATTTATTTATTAGTGTGAATAAAAGCAGTTTCACATGTACAAGACAGGACAGTTTACTGCGACACTTTATTTTTTTTTTTTTTCCAGAGAAGATGTTAAGGATGTGCTCCAGAATTTCTATATAAATAGACTAAGGTCTAATCCCAGATTTAGGCACTTATCAAATTATTAACTAGTAGTAAAAAGTAGTTTTAGGATAGTTTTAAAGTCCATACATCTGACATTTACTGTCTTTGGCCCAGCACAATGTTTTATTCTCTAGTTTCCAGATTCATAATTGCTAAATGAAATTGGCTGTAAGTTGTTTTTGATTGGATGTGCAAATTATCTGACACCTTTCACCAAAAAAAAAAAAAAAAAAAAAAAAAAACACTAATTTTGTTTGAGCAACTACATCTTCTTCAGATAAAGATACCAAAATAATATTTACAAACTACAGCTATAGTCATAGGGGAAGGAAAAAAAAAAAAAGTCTCTTTGTCAACAATTACCACAACTAAATTTAAAGTCAAGTTTCCAACGCGGAACTTCCCTCCAATGGGAAAGTGAATTAAGCTCTAATACACCAATTTTATTTCCCCTTTTGCCATAGTTAACGATCTGTGTATCTGTTGGCAAATGACTCTCTAATGGTTCCCTACATGCTCCATTCCAGTAAGCTATTGCATTAAAAGTCTTGTGCCCCATAATTATTGTATGGATTTGAAACTTTCTCTGTATTCCATAGTTACTAACCTAGCAAATAAGCCTGCCTCAATCATACATAATGCTTCCAGTTTTATATCCACTTTAGTAAAAGAGCTATAATTGCATCTAGTTATGTTGCATGTTGACCTTCTTCATAGTAAGGTGCTTTACTTAACAGATTTGCAGAAATCAAAATATTAAGTAATATAAATACATGTATAACCAATCAGTGTAGATCTGTTTGGTAAATAATTTATATAAAGAAAAAGTCTGTTTCTCTCCTATTTATCTATAAAACGATATGGCTAACTTCCAGTTGATACTACCGTAAGCAAACACTGTTATATGGCACACATAAATGGAAGAATGGAGCCAAGAACCCCCTTGGGCTTCATGAAGTTATTGTTAGGGCAAGTAGAACTTATTACTTACATACCTAGCTCAGACTTATAATGTTAATTGCTTACTACATGGAATAACACTTTTGCTTTTATGCTGCTTCTTGAATTCATACAATTACCCTAAAATAAGTAAGAGGATCTGTTTTATTTCCTCATGTAAATCCCTAAAACTTTCATATTATCAGGTAAAACTTGTATCTGATAATTTCTATCCATTGCAGTGCATCTATTACGGGTGTTAGAGAACTGCATTCATTATAAATGCAGCATTTATACGATCACTTTCTGATTTATTGTGTGTGTGGAGTGGGAGATGAATGTACAGAATTACACAGGCTTGTTTTGCAAGGTCCTGTTCAAAAAGCAGGTGACATGTATCAGCAGACTATATAGATTTACATGACAAACTTTGAGGAATTGTATCCTTTACATGCTATAGGTTAACACATTTTAAATAATGCTGTGCTCTTTTTGGACATACTAATTTTCATCTCTTCTTTATTTTGATTTTCTTTGTAGTGACCATTGCATATTTTCTTCACCTCTAATGCATTCATTTTCTTGTGATATAATTAATGCGATATCTTCTTAAAAATATTCATAAAGTTATTCTAACGTATCTCATGAATTTACCCATGTACTAAGAAGTCTAATAGCTTTTAAAATACTTTGTAAATTGATACTCTCTGAGTTTTAGGCTTCTTATATTTTAACCTGATTTATTTTGTGTAATAATAAATCAGATGCAAATGTACAAAATGTTTGTGTGGCCTAAAAGTGCAGAGAGACAGAAAGAAAACTTTTCTGGAAAAGATTTATGATAAGTTTTTAAGACCAATAGAATAGTGAACTTAATCCACTATTAAGTGGTAATTGAAGACTTTTAAAATGTGAAATTAGAATATGCATTCTCCTTTTTGTTTGTGAGGCAGTAAAGACATCTTTTTCCTTTTTTTTTTTTTTTAATATTGTGTAAATAATTTATTGTGCTATATTTGTCATTTTATGTGTTTGGACTGATCCTTTCCTTAGGTGTTATGGGATTTAGAATGTATAATACAGGTAAGTGTTATACAGGTCAATGAGGCCTTCCATACAGTAAGTTCTGCTTCCTCTTACATATTGAGCAGCAGGGCAGAATGAGGGCTTTGTACCCTGTCAACTGTTAATTTGAGAATGTAGGTTTAATATCATACCCCTCATAATCTAAGAGTTCTCTGAAGGAAAATAAAAAGTAGCCCTTTTGAACTTTTCATTTTAGGGAAAAAAAAAAAAAAAAAAAAGCAAAGGAAAAAAATCTATTTATGTATTGAAGGCAATCTAGCAATTTAGGTTTATTTTAGAAAATAAAGAAGTCTCTATTTCCTCATGGTTAACCGTGGCATATATCTGCAAAGATGTTTTCCTTCTTTAAAATAGGTAATACAGGCAACAGAATGAAGTACTGTGAAAAAAATAAAAAATTCTGAAAAATCAAAATATATTGAGCAAAAGGAAGTGGGGTAGTTGATAAATTTACTTTTTTTTTTTTTTCCTAATTTTACTCTTTTTGCACAAAAATCATGTTAGTATGGAGCACGTTTCTCCAGCAAAAAATGAAACTTCTATCGTTTACATATGTTGAAGTATATTGATAGATTCTTCCTTTTGTGAATGGACAGTATATATGATCAGGACTTTTAATATTCAATGTTAATTTCAAAATTCACTCATTATAATCATGCCTTTTACAATCATATTAGTGTTATTTTCATGATATTCTGAGGGTTAAGAGCAACTTTTTGTCACTTTAAGATCTATGACATTTTTAATTTTTTAATACTTCGTTTCTGTATTTATTAGGTATACACTGTCAAAGGTCTGTGTAGGATAATGGAAAATTTACACTGAGTATGTATGACTATTTTACAAAATGAGGAACATCTTGAGAAACATAACTTTGACTTTTTCTGCTGTTTGACCTTTCATCTAAGCCACCTAAACAAAGACAAAGTCAAGCTTCAAAAATGCAGTAAAAGAAAAAAAAGAAAAAAAAAAAAGAAAGAAAGAAAAAAAAAGACTAGCCTCGAAATTCATAGTAATACAAATATTTTATCATGTACGTAGGGCCTATAGTTCACATTGTACAATCGTTACTGTCTACCTGAATATTAGCTGCTATTATCATATTATATCCTTTAACCTGAACCCAAGTCATGTAACAGTCTAAACAAAATGCAAAATACAGTAAAAGGATTAAAACAATAATCAGTAAATCAGTAATTAAATTTCTTCTTTGTTGTCCTAACAAATAACGAAAATGATTTCACAGATCACTTTGGTGAACTTTTGTGTTTAAAAAAACTCATCATTTTTTGCTTGCCCATAGAAGTTATTACAGTTATATACAATTTTATGAAAAGTGGTGGTATTAGTTGCTTATAGTTTTAAATCACTGAATAGCCTTAAAATTTGATAACCATAAAATTCCTAGAGGACTAGCAAAGACAAAAATTTTGCAAAGGTTTCATGTTTGGCCTCTGGAAAAAACAAGAAAAGAGCCTGGGCAGATGCTTGCTACAAAGGCACCACTTCAATAGTATATCATTTACCAAATACTTGGTAGATATAACCAAAATGTTCCTGATATGCAGACATTCCCTTGATTGACAAATCAGTGCCAAAATTTTTGAAAGACAAGAGGTATTTCAATACAACTGAAATTTTAAGCTATTCAAGACTGAATTTTTATCATTATTTTAAAGCTGATTTTAACACTGATTTTTGAAACTTAACCAAGTCTGTTTCAAAAAATCCAGAATATAATATAAGCTTCAGCATGCAATTTTTAACTGATTTTTAGTGGAAGAGGTAAATTTTTACACAATTATTCTACAATTATTTACTCGAAATCTTTAGAACTTTCAATTTAGTCATATTTGTGGGTTTTTTTTTGCATTTTTTTTTTCTATTAAAAATGCACTCAAGTGATCAAGTTTTCTGTAGATGAATGCCTTTGAGAAATTCCAGAAATGTGTGTGTGGCTGTTCGTGACAACTAAATTTAAACATTCTTTCCTGAACATCCACACAAGACCAGATGAATTACTCAAAACACAAACACAAACAAAAACAATCAATCAAACAAACAAACAAATCAGAAATAATATAATGTGTTTTGTTTCAACAATAAAAACAACAACAACAAAACACAATTCACAGGTATGATAGGAATAAATTGCATTCAGTTTTGCACATTTTATGGAATAGTACTTTCTGCAAATTAGTTTTATATATTTCAGTATGACTACATGAACACTAAAAAAGCACATTCCATAAAACAGGAATTAAAAACTTTTTTTTTTTTTGTATTTATTTGGAACATCCATTGAATTTTAAATATGAAAAAGATTCCAAAATACAAGCAAGTAGCTCATAAACTTCTTGGATAAATTATTATTTTAGAGTTCTTCATTCATTGTTCCTTTTTGACAATTTTGAACATAGTGGTAAGTAATGAGGTCTAGCACATCTAACAGTTTGTGAGTCAAAAGCATGGAGCAGATAAGTGTTCAAATCAAATTTCCCATCCCACTGTTCAAGTTAAAATCTTATAAACAAAGTGCACCTCTTTGCCAGGGAACTTCTCTCAAATACTAGATGACTCTTCTTCACTCAAGAAAATATAAGAAATTAAATGTTTTGTTTGTTTGTTTGTTTGTTTTGCTTTGTTTTGTTTTAATCTAAATTTCCTTACTGGCAGAGTTTCTAAAAGCTTAATTCTAGAGTGACAAGTATAAATATCAAAGATAAATCCCTTGCTATTATATAAAAAGGGTTGTCTATGTTCTTGTAACATCCTGAGGGCAGTGTTGTTCCTAAAATGTTGAAGGACACTATTTCTCATAAATTCACAAATGATGTCAACCAATCAAAGTGTTTCCCTCTGAGAGGCGTTATGTGACTGCAGCATTGTAGGTGTCTTTATTTTCTATTCATTGCACATTTTCACAACTGCTTTTCTCCATGAACTTTTAAACATTTATTTTGGTATGATACTTTTGTCTTTATTTTATAAGGGCAGACAAGCTTCAGCAATAAAAATGTCTCATTAATACTTATGTCTATATTCATGTTTGTTTGTTGTCTTGAATACAGGTGAATCTGGTGTGGAAGAGTGGGCCCAGTGGAGTACGTGTTCAGTTACTTGTGGTCAAGGGTCGCAGGTGCGAACCAGAACTTGTGTATCACCTTACGGGACACACTGCAGCGGCCCTTTAAGAGAATCAAGGGTTTGCAATAACACTGCCCTCTGTCCAGGTAGTGTTAGCAGCCAATAAATAAAATTGTGGATGTTTTTGAACTGTATAATGATAAGAATTTGAAACTATATATTTTTTATTATTATCATTTTTATTATGAATTTCATAAGAGAATTTAAGTTGGAACAGAGACATGGAATTCTATTCAGCTATGAAATTTATAATGCAGGTTGTTATTTTTACTTTCAGAACAGTCAAGACATGGAACAAGAGTGCTTTTGTCTAACAGCTTCAATTTTTTTTAATAAGTATTCCCAGTTATTCGCTATTAAAAAAAAAAAAAAAAAAAAGAGAGAGAGAGAAGGCATAGAATAAGTACTAAATACAGATTAGAGGAGAAACACAGATCACCAATATATTAAAAATCAGAGACTGATTAACAAGGTGGGTTAAGTTAACATATATAATTTAACACTGCTACAGTTTAGCCATTTAGAGTACTGTCTTCTAGGCAGTGGGCCAGACAATGTCCTCTGCACTGTAATATCTTCTTTTATATTGTGCTGGCAAGAAAGGGCAACAGCTACCCATCAAAGGAAGAAAGATTGGGCAAAAATAAGCTTTTTACAACAGACAAAAGGTAAAAGTCATCAGTATCTTGCATTACAGTTTTCCTACTACTTTTTTCTAGGAGATCTGGACATAGAGTTCAGCAGTAGTTATGCTCTAAGGAGATGAGACAGGCATATCTGAGGTAGTTGCTGAAAGGGCATATCTCATTTCTTTAGAGTTTGCTCATGGATGTTTTATCTGGGATGGGAAACAAAAAGGCATATGGCCTGTGACGGCATTTATTTTCCTTTGCTGTCTCTGAAAAGGGAAAATTCCTTCCTGCCTCACTTCAGATGACCAAAATCCTCAGCTTTTCTCTAAAACTTGATTCCAGGAGGGTGGTGAGCCAGATTCTGGGGAAGCTCACTCCATCATTAAGTAAACTAGACTGTCTCATACATGGAATCCCCTGGATTTTATCTCAATGAGCAGTAGTGTCAGACTAAACGTTGCTACTGCATGTTGAAAAAATATCCAAGAGAAAAGGCATACATGACCACCTCAGAGTTTGTGTATTGGAGTTATAAGCCTTTACAGAACCTCTGCAATGAAAAGCAACTTAAAATATTGTATCAGGTAAGCCACCACTGTACATCAGTGTACAGTGAACAGCTAATATCACTGAATGCTTTACCACTATGCTCTAGATAAAAAACTCACCTGTCATTTCTGAATATTTCAGGGTAGGAAACCCCAGACAGAAAACCCCAGACATCTGAATTTGATAATTTAAAGGTTTCCATAATAAATAAATAAATAAATAAATAAATAAATAAATAAATAAATAAATAAAGCCACTATTTCTAAAAAGGATGGGGTAGCTTACAGGCTAGTGGAGGTTGGATTCTTTCCAAAACTACCCTTACCCTCAACTTGAAAGTAAAACAGTATGAAGTACAAAAAGAAAAATATAAAATAAAATAAGAAACCTTCTAAAAAATCAAAGATAAGCTTAAAGATTCCTTTGAAGCAACATGAAATATAAATATGAAAACACGTGCTCCAGCACTCTCACTGACACACAGATCTGCCAATTTCTAGCTCATTTAATAACCTAAGAGGCAAGGTCACCTAATTTTGCAAAATTTTATCCTCATTCTCTCCAGTAAAGTTTGAGAAATTTTCACATCAAAATAAGTCTATGTAAAGCAACAGCCAAGATAATTTAGTCAAAGTAATCTGGGGAAAAATAAATAAATAAATATAGTTAATGATAAATTAATAAAAATAATAAATTAATAATATAAAAATAATAATATAATAATGAAATAATACAAATAGTTAATAATAAATAACTAATAATAAATAAAAAATAGCTCGTTTGTAAAATTTACATTGTCTAGTAAACTTCTGAACAATGCTCACACAGAAAGACTGTTCCACATGTCTCAGTGACAAGGGAGCTCTTTGCTCACACACAATGCCCACTTTACAGTATGGCTTCTGTTTCCGGTTATTCAGTGTGAGCAATGTCTATCAATTCTCACTGGATAACAGTGATACTGCCAAGATATTTTCATTTTCATATCACCACAGCTGATTCTGATAATCTTTACATATGTTGTGTTACCTTTCCTAAATAATTAGTCTTCTAGGCATAATCTTGCATGTTGTTTTACATAATTACAGTAACCTTACTAATTTATGTTGGTCTCTGTCTGGCAAGAGGGGTCACTATGTGTGGCAGTGTGCAGGATGAGCAATTTAGAAAGATGCTTTTCATAGTCAGAGCTCCATTAATTTTTCAACCATGATTTTAATTCTAGGCTAAATATCCTCTGCCCTCATTATAGCATGTATACTGTCTCAGAGAGTTGCATGATTCAGGATTATCCCTGGCTCATGCATAAGAAAATGTACAGTTTGTAGACTAGTATAATTAAAACACACATTTAACAAAAGAATGCAAACATACACAACTGTACTTGGGATATGGCCTGTGAACCTGGACCTGAACCACTCATTCCATACAGCTTTTGGACTCAAGGTTACTTCAAAATAAACAATTATGCAGAGTGGCTTATACTTCAAACATCTATCCACAAGCTTCAAGAGAACATGTTGCATTTAAAAATATTTATACAAGGCTGTATTGATTTCATGCAGTCCCTTCAGTGTCCACTGGGAATGGACATCACTGGGATGTTAGAGAATATGTCTGTAATCTCACTATTCTGTAAAATTTTGAGAATGGGATTCACCAGCTTTATCATTATGCAACAGCAGGCTATATCACAAAGTATTTTGCATAAGTACATGAAAGCTATTGCATCTATCATTTTTAGCTATTTTTTTTATTCTGCTGAATAAATATATTACATATATATATAACATATATATAACACATATATAATGCTACTGATAATTAAGCTAAAATCATGAAGGAACTATTGTTTCCATAATTTTAATTTATTTATATTTTTTCCAGACCAATACTATTTCAGAGATGGGAATCCACTAGGTAATTCAGGCAGTGTCTTGGAATCAGGGGCCTTCTCAAGAAGTGCAACATTGTAAGCAACAAAATGTAGTTCATGTAACCATTTTTACTGGTTCTGCAAGCAAAGGCATTTAGGATACAGTACTGCAGTGCCACTGATTCATTTCAGTTTAATTGATAATTTCTAATACAGCTAAGACTTCAAGGAGAAAGAACATTGACTTTCTGTAACTGTAGATCATCTCAGTTAGTTCCTATTTCTCCTTCCCCATTGCCTTCAGCCACTTTCACCACAAAATTTAGCTGAAGATCAGAATTCTCAGGCTTATGGGTAAAGCAATACATGGAAGGAGCAAGAATATCCTAAAACATTTCAAACATTTGTATGCTCAAAAGATTTTGGTTGGTGCTAAGTCGGTTATATCTCCATCATTTCTCAAGGCTTATGTCAATGAATTTTAGCCATATTACTGAAATTTTGCACATTTCAGTATGTTTTATGTCTGCATAGGTACACTAACAAAACTGTTACAAGCTTTTAAATCCACAGTGTTATTGTTATTAATCAGTGTTTTGGAACTTCAAGTCTTCATTTGAAAGTGGGAAAACAAGAGGGAAATTTAGCTTTATAATCAACAGACCTTGCAGAAATAGAATGGATATATGACTTAAATGTGGATGGTAGAGGACAGGTGTCAGGAAGTCTTTGAATTATTTTTTTTTATTATTACTAATTTAAGAAAATTTTTCAAATATACAATTTGAGCCATATTGAAGAAACAGAAACTATATCACATAAATGTGTTTAAATTCATGCATGAAATACCTGTAATATCATTTTAACAATTCCTATAATGTAGCATCTGGTTTATTGTAGTTAATCAGCCATTTTAAACTTTACCAGAAAATAAAAACCATCAATGTCCATAATATTTTTTACAATATCTTTTTAGTATAAAGCTGAACAAATCAGAAGTATTTAAACCCCAATAAAAATCTCCCAAAATATGCTTGTAGGATGCATGCCAGCATGGCCTCACACCTCCTCCCACCTCACACAAGTTGTGCATTGTGAACACTGTGGGTGTTCACTTCAACATGATTAGGTTCAGAGAGTGGCAGAATGAAGGGAAGGATGCTCTGCAGTAATCCAAACTCGTTGTGCTAGCAATGATTTTGACAGATAAGTTGGCAATAATTTGAATATTTTTGTCCCAAATAATGAATCTTCCATGTGAAACTGTGTTATAGAAAACAGTTACTCCTCTGTGGGCCAGCTCTCCATCTGGTGTAATTTGGCATAGCTCATCTGGCTATAATTCATCAGATGTTATAGGGTTAGGTTTTTTTTGCATTTAAGGAATGATATTAAGGAAAATGTTAATGAAATATCAGGAATAATATTTGAAGGTAAGAAATTTTATTTTCTTTTTTTTTTTTAAAAAAAAAAAAAAAAGCTGATCTGGATAATACTGGACATAGCTGTGATGCATTGTATAGATTATTTTTCCTTTATATTTCTATGCTCATAATGGTTGTTTACTTAGTGGTATGCCTTTCCCATCTTTGACTTTATTAGTTATAGAATCATAGGATCATTAAAGTTGGAAATGACCTCTAAGATCATCTGGTCCAACCATGTTCTACTACTCTTAGACATACAAGCCCAATACATACAAGAAGGTACTATGAAGTTTTTACTTACTGTTCTAACTGTTTTCACAGAAGATTACTTTGGGCCCATCTCACCTTAAACCAGAAACGGATAGAATCTGGTGCAAGTTTGAATCCACCCAAAGTGAAACATATTGTTTCTGCTTCTGTTCAAATCCAAAATCACAAAATAATTACTCTGCGTTCCTGCTAACATGCAGTCATTCTTGCCAGAAGAGATATATAACCTCTTGGCTCAAGACCATAGCTTTAAAGAAGCCTTCAGCTAATTGTTTGTGTTTTGTTGTTGTGCTTTTTTTTATTATTATTATTATTATTATTATTATTATTATTATTATTATTATTCATTTTTAAATGAAGATAACTTATAATATTTTGACAGCAAAAACTGAAACTCCAAATTAAACACTAGACTTAAACTCATGTCTACATAGTGTCTAGACCTTTACAACATATTATTTTTACAGCATCTTCTTTCTCTAATTTGGATTAATTGTTATTTGTTATGTTTTGCACTTTTTTAAGTTCTTCTTGTTTCAACGGAGCATCTTTTAATCAACCATCGTTGTATTAATAGATGAAATTATATCTCTGTTATTACTGACTGCCATTTGGAATCTGATCTTACAAATTGGTTTCTCATTGATTTTTCTAGTATGTTAATAAATCTGGAGTCTTAGACGTATGACTGGACTCAGAATCTAATTCATTGCCTATGCAAAAAAGTCTTCAAATGTTATGGCTGGGTCAGAGTATTCTTCTAAGTATAGTACCTGTTGAAGAAAAGATGAAACATAAGGAGTCATATGCCAATGATCACCAATTTACTAGTTTCAGAAGACTTAGGTTTCCTGGTTTTGACCAAAATGACAGAATTAATCAACATTTCTAAAATAATTAGACTAAAATCTGTCAGTATTACATTCATTTGAAATGTCCCTGTTATTTTTTTCTTTTTTTTTTTTTTTTTTTTTTGCTAATATAAAGCAGATTGATGTGATATTTAGAATAAAAGGATTTTAATAAAGCTATCTATGTAGGACATGGAATAATTACTTTTCAACTACTTGTATGTTACCAACTCAAAACCTTTCATCAATTGAGCTGTTATCTAGCAGGTAAAAATGTTCACTGTATGAAGCTTCGCATGTTACGTCAGATAGAATTTCTATGAAATTACCTCAAAAAATTTTACCCTAGCAGTAAAATCTGAAACAACAGTTTTCCTTAATTTTAATGAAATGCAATAGAACATACCTACATGCAGAATTGCCCTTGATCTTACCAAATATTTTATGATAATACACAAGAGAAATATACCTCCTTCCCCACCCTTCACAACTGAATTCCACCTTGGAAACTGTTATTCTGATATCTACAATATTTTATTTATAGAAACTGGGCAGGTGAAACTGCCCCTTCAGGGCAAAGGAAACCTGAAAATCAGTTATTTCACAGTAATCAAAGAGATGTGTGGACAATCCAGAAAATCTATTTTTTTGTAATGTTGTGAACTATTACCAATGATACACTGAGGTGTTATACACTTTCACCCTCCAGACATCCTTCAAACAGACAGTGTTGCAGAAACATAGATATGATATCATCTATGATGCTCAGTCTGGGTACTAAGCCTCTGGATTTTCGTAAATGTCTGGCATTACTCTAGTTTTCCTGTTTCCAAACACAGCCTAACCAAAATCTGTGCAACTGCTTTTATTTAACAAGAATAGCTACAGCATGTTTTGCACTATTTCTCAACTTACAAAGAATTGTCTTGCCAAGTCATGTATGGAGTTCTCTTAGTGTTATTACTTAACAATAATATGTTTTAGGAGTTTCTAAAAATTTAACTCCAGTTGTTTCTGAAAAGGGAATATATATGGTATATAAGCTCAGACAGATATTGTGTATTAGCTTCTTCTGCCTTGGAAGTTAGAAAAGATTCATATTCTATGATTCTCTATATTAATCTTATGAAATATATGTATATAATAATATTTATATATGTTTATAATTTATCATGTTCTCTGAAAGTATGTGAAGTTTGTTGTCAACATTTTTTTAAGGCAGAGATGCATGTGTTACTATATATGTTTGATCAATTAATATGTTAATGTAAAAAAAAATATTAAAATCTCTTTGTGTGCTCTTGGCATTTTTGAGGAAGCTAATCAAGCACAAATGCTGTCATGTTTCCACATTAATTTAAACATGCAACAATTGTAAGACCCCCAGTTTACCAGGGTAACAGTGAGAAATTACCACAGTTATGCCTTTATTTTCAAAAGAGAGCTTTATTTTGATTGCTTCTAGTTTTTACAGTTGTGATGAGACCTAAAGTTTATGCCTGGTTTTAACAAGGACTAGTCTCCTGAAAATCAGGGCTATTAAACATATCTCAGGTCATACACCAGAAAATCATAACCAGCTTTAGAAAATGGAAGTCATCTTTCTTAGAAGAGTAAAAGAAAAGAAAATGTGGTAGTGAGATTAGTTGAAAGATTAGAGAAAATGGTTCAAAATTAGATATAATTTATAAAAGATAAGAGTTTGAAATTGAAATTAACCATTTTTTACAGAGAAGGTTTTATTTGCCAATACTAGAGATTACCTATGTACTGATATCCTTGAAGTTGGCAAAATAATTACCTTTTACGATATTGATTTTGTTCATTTTGAAATCCTTTTGTTACTTCTGTGTCTGTTTCTGGTTAAAATCTGTTTGGTTTGTTGCAGTACATGGCGTTTGGGAGGAATGGTCACCTTGGAGTCTGTGTTCATTCACATGTGGTCGAGGCCAAAGAACTAGGACAAGGTCATGTATACCTCCCCAGTATGGGGGAAGATCATGTGATGGACCTGAAACACAACATAAACCATGCAATATTGCACTCTGCCCTGGTGAGCTTATACAGCAACTTTTTGCTTTGTTACAGTGCATTTGATGTGGGTTGTTTGTGATTTCTTTCATTGTGTTTTGCATTCACACACACACAAATGGCATGCAAAGTGTGTAGGAAGGGTAATCTTGTTAATAATTCTGACTGTGGTGATCAAAAGGATATATCAGTATGATAACTCTGTTTGAGATACTGTACAAGCAGGCAATTCTTAATTCCTTCAAAATTCTCTCTCTATATGGCACTTATAAGAAACCTTGATTTAGGTTGTCTCTTAGAGAACCAAAAGACAAGCAACTTTCTGAGTGTGGCTTAAAGGGAAACATTCAGAGGTTACATAGTTTGCATCTGCCATGTCTGCTTAGATTAAGTTCACTGGGACATTCATAATTATTTATTCACCACATACACATTAAAAAAAAATATGAGAAACTTAATTTTTAATTGCTATTAATTTATTGAAACTGGATATCATTTACATGTGTGCAGACAGAAGGCTGACACAAGCTATGACACTATTTGAACCCTATTTAATCCCTTATGGTAACAATTTTAAGTGCCTTAGTTCTGGGAGTTTAGTGATAAACATCTGCAAAAAAACTACCCCTAAACAAGTAAACAATGTGTAGGTTTCAGGTTTTCATGTTAAACCTTTCATTCATGGGAATTAAAACTAATTTAAAAAAAAAAAAAAGTTATTATTGCAAAATTGTTTTTAAATGTCTGTTCACAGTTTATGATTAATTATGAAAAAAATTACATATATATGGATATATACATATACTTACAAAAGGTTTTTCTTTAAAAGTCACCTTCTTTATGATTATAGAACTCATAGTTCAATACCTAGGAAGCTTAATACCTAGGAATGGAAAAAGTGTCAGGTAGCTATAATGTGGGAAGTTTCTTCCACAAGATCTGTCTGACAATTATGTTTGCATTTGTGGTAGGCTTGTTGAATGTTCACAGTTCACAGCACTGCTGTGAATAGATTCCTCATGACTGGAGCTCTTCTGGAAAAGGGTTGATGGACATTTCATTAACAAATGGTTGTTTGATGATTTGGAAACAGAGAAGAAGGAAAACATGGGTGGAACTTAGCACCTCACAGAAATAAAACTTAAAAACAAAACAAAACAAAACAAAAAACTAAGCCCAAGCTTTGTTTTATTCTGGTCAGCAAAGAATACTCCAACTTTAGCTTTTAGTCTTGTATGCAGCTGCAAAAATATGACTTAATCCAGTTTTTGGCCAAGTTGGCAGCCATGCAATGTTATGTTTGCCTACACAAAAGTAATTAACATGATATATGAGCACGAAGCAGAACTGACAACACAAAAAATGCCAAATAGAAATAGCTGAAAAGAAATTAATGCATTCAGTTCACTTTGGTATTGAAAAACAAAACAAAACAAAACACACAAACAAAAAACACACAAAGATAGTGCACCTAATCTGTTAAAATAAAGGGTTATCTCAGAATTCTGGATTTGAACAGTGATCTGTATATAAATGGCTTTCAACAGAGGAGATTGTATACTGGCTACATTTAAAGTAACAGCTTAAATCTTTGCTGAATGTGAAGATTTACTGCAATTTGAATGTTCAATTTTATAGAGGAATCTTCATGTTCAATTCTTTAGCCTTTTAGCAGTATTTCTGAAATAGAAAACTCACACACTTTTTGCTCCTAAAGAAGGGAGAACTATGAAATGTATATGAGATGCCACAGAATGTGTTTTTTCCAAAGACACTATAATAATTGATTCAATCTTTCCTACCCTAAATAATACTATATAGCAATGAATAAAACTGAAGAGGGTGCATTGAAATGTAATTTCCATAATGTTTTCCTCTTCACATAAAGCTTTTATGATTAATGAATGCAACTAGTTTCCATGTTTGGAAAGATTTCATTTCTGCTGAATAAATTATCAGGGTACAGCTTCATAGCTTGAGAGGCATCTGCATTGAGAAGTGGTTCGCAACCAGACATTACATAAAATCTTTAATGTAGAACTTGAGGGAAAAAAAATAATAAAACCCTTCCTCCTTTCACAGTTCTCTAAGATCCTGGGAATTAGAGGTACAGATATTATCTTTGAATGGTAGAAATGCTTTATGGTAATTTTTGGACAGCGGAAAAATAGTTCGCTTCTGTATTTCACTGAATATATGTACACCCATACAGACACAGTACCTTTAAAAAGAGCTTTTAAAAGTTAAATCACTAAATTAAAGATCCTGTTTCCTCTTTAATTCTTAACTCCACCAACTTTGAAAGCTACTATCCCAACTGTCCTTCAGAAGAATCCTGAAATCAGGGATTGGCAAATGTAGCAAGAGAATTTACTCATTTTCAACAATGATGCTTTTATGACAACAGTAATTATAAAACCATGTTTTCAAGGAATAGTATTAATCTAAATTATATTACAACCCAAATTTTGAGTTTATATTCATTAAATGCAGGTGCAATGATGATTTTAAAGTCAGTAGGAATGTGGGATTCTGAATTAGTACAAACACTTATATAATTTCATAATGCTTACCCAATTTTAAGAACACTGTCTAGTCCCATTATCCATTATACACAATGTAAATTTTAACTTGTATGGGAACTTAAATGGTTTATATTTTCTATAATTTTGGTTTTAAATATTTTCATTTCCATCAATAAGATTGCTGATATATGAAATTAAACATAACATTTACACATGGAAATATTGTTCCAAACCAAAGTGTATGGGTTAATACAAACTACTAAATACAGAACTCATCCCTGTATCCATGTTGTTTAAACACTCATCTTGACAAATTCAGGAAGAAGATTATTCAGTATGCAAACAAAGAAAGTAGATTTGATGACCAAGGCAGGCCATTTCTGATCTCCTACATTTTGTCTCAAAGACTGTTGAAGAACTGTGATGGTTTTCTGAGAAGGAAACTGAATAATAACAATAAATCCAATATTAAAAATCTAGAGAACAGTCTTATGTCGGGCAATGTGGTAATTCTTGTTTTCCTTTTTCTATTCAGCTAACAGAATTAATTTTATAGTCAGGACAAAGAATCTTATAAGTTGACCTATGAAAGTGATAGCTGCAGCTGTAAAGAATCGCTTTTAAGGGCTCAGAGCTTACAAGACAGGTCTCCACTTTGACCTAAAAAGACAAGTCTTCTAAATAATACTTTGTTTTAAAGAAAAAGAAAACTACACAGTTTTTCAAACATTGTGGTATGTGAGCAAAGTCATTATTTGTCCTTTGTTACATCTGTGTAAAATCTGAGATGAAAAAGAAGAGATGATAAAAAGGAAAGAGAAAAAAAAAATAGTTTAAAATTATTTTAAAGTAGTTTGTAACAAGAACTTCTGTATTTGCTTGCTATAAGAAGTCAACCTCTTTGGGCTCAGCCCAAATCTCTTTGGCATCAGCCCAAAAAGACGTGTTCTTACCCATAAAATAGAACAAACCCACAAGGCCTAGCGTGGTTTTGGTGGTAACTCTACTGTGTCTATCTCTTTTGTGCCTCCTGTGGCAGTGGATGGACAGTGGCAGGAGTGGAGCCCATGGAGCCAGTGCTCAGTGACGTGCTCCAATGGCACCCAGCAGCGAAGCCGTCAGTGCACAGCTGCGGCCCACGGCGGATCCGAATGCAGGGGACCATGGGCTGAGAGCCGGGAGTGCTATAACCCTGAGTGCACTGGTAAGTATCCACCTGACCAATGTCTGGAGGAGGAAGTGAAGGGTTGGGCCTGTCTGATGCTCTGAGTGAACCTGCTGGCACACGGGCATGCACTTAGTCCACCACAGGCCCCAGTGGGCTGTGGAGAACAGAGCAGCCTCCCCAGAGCAAGATCTGGGGCCTGTCTCCCTTTTAATTTGATGAGCCACCTGGAGATAAAAAGAGTGCATCTGCAAAAGGCTGCATGGCAAGGGTTGCATGTCTGCTTTTCAGTTTTATTGCCATTTAAAGGACATGCAAAAAATAAGGAATTGTTTGAGGACTAAAATATTTAGTATTTAATTAGAAAATTAATGTGTATGAAATGATTCTCTCTTACTCTGAGGCTGTTTCATGATCCTCTGACAGTATAAGACCAGAATTCCAGGGTGGGTAAATTAAGTTTATACATACTTTTAGGCCTCATTCAACATGTCAGAGCATGTATAGTCCTGCTTCTAAAATATCACATGCAAGAATGTATTTATTTACTTTTTTAAATGATGCTTACGTACATTGCATATCATTATGTGCACCCCTACAGTAGCACTATACAACTGCATATAAAAATATGCAAAAGTGACTGTGTGCTGTGTGTTCTGCAATTAACTCGATGTTAAAACTCACCAACTCACCAGCCTATTTTTGTTTGTTTGTTTTTTAACCTTGAGATGCAAGTCATTTAAACAAGCCCATATTTAGGAAAGAAGTAGACTTCCCCCAGCTTTAGAGGTTCCATGGCCAGTATCTTCCACTTGTCACTGCTAGTTACACAAATGCATCTAATCTACTGGGGGCTTTCTTCTCTTACCTAAGTAAAGAATAACCTATATGTCATCCTTTAGTACTGTCATTATGTCATCACTGTAATTATATTTTTCCCAATAGCAAATGGCCAGTGGAACCAGTGGGGCCACTGGAGTGGATGTTCCAAGTCCTGCGACGGTGGCTGGGAGAGGAGAATAAGGATCTGTCAAGGGGCTGCTGTGACTGGGCAGCAATGCGAGGGAACTGGAGAGGAAGTTAGACGGTGCAGTGAACAGAGGTGTCCTGGTGAGAACTAGATATAATCACTGTTATTATCTACACTGCAGTATGGCTTACTTTAACAGTCACCTTTAGGAGAAACAAGGTCAACATCCGTAAAGCAGTAGTCCTAAAGAGCCATATCTGACCTTGCTTTAGACAAGTCACTGTTGTTTTTCTCAGTAGAGTTGTGGTTATGTAGCAGGGTTTAAACTAGTCCAATTGAATATATGAGCAATGCCTCATGTTTGAAATAAATCAAAATGCCATATTATAGAAATATATCAGAAAAATATGTAATTACCAAGGTATATCTACATTGGTAGAAATAATTTGCTACAGAAATTATCTCTGAATATACTGTTCCTAAGAATATTAGTCCTGTTTTTGTAAATTGTGGAATTATTTTTATGCAGTGTACAAGATGGCCTTGATGTTATACATTTGGGGTAAATTCCAGTGCAGTAAAGAAAAGCAGTGAACCTTACTATAATGTATAGAATGAATGAATATATGTGACACTTCATAAAAAATAAAGATTAAAAAAGAAAATATATATATATATTTCCTCCTTTAATATAATGCTTAAATTTATTTCTTTGCAGCACTTTTTACTTAGTCCTCACAATAGATTTAAGTCTTTCTAAGTGACAGATAATTAAAGTGCATTTTTTAGCTCTTTCAGAGGTGAACATATGTGAAGAGACATCCTAGAGAAAAAGAGAGCCCTGGAATAAGATAACAAAATAAGGTGCAGGTAGTAAGGTGTAGGATGATTTAGTCATTCACCTGGGAAAAACTGTTCTCTGAACTTCAGGCCAGGACACTTCAAAATTAATCTAGCAATCTCACTGACTACGGGAAAATTCCACTTCATATTTTGATGGCTCTGTGCTAGGGACAAAAAGGCCTAAATAGCGGAGATACTTTCAGTTAGTAAATAGGAAATATATCTGATGTGAATTTTATGATATCGAGCTCAGGTTTTCATAGGCAGCATGGTTATCCCTTGGCAGCCATCAAAGAACAGTTTTCAAGATAGTTGCAACATAGTAGTACAACGAAGTTCATTGCATCTGAAAAACAGTAAAAGGACTACTTACAAAATTGTAATACTAGACTGGAAAAGTTTACCAATTTTAACTTTTCCAATGGTCTCTTTAATTTTAGTACATTATTTGAAAAGTAAGACAAAACAGAATCAGTACTGGGTTCCTAAATAAATTAAAATTTCCGTAGCAAATAATTTACTTAGTAAATGTAGACTTTCCTCTATGAAAGCACCACATTAAGAGAAGGTTAATGGGAATGTTCTCAATAAACAGACATTCAGATAAACAAGCTTCTGCTTATAAAACCACTCCTGAAATGTTTTGTCTTTATATATTTCGAAGTAAAACCACATTGCTGCAATTTTAAAAGGTTGCCACCTGCTGTTAATAGAATATTTTACAAATGTATTTGTAAGTCAAATGCACACAGAGCATTGTTTTCCATTTGCACTATGTATTTATTAACTTGATTAATTCCATATTAAAATCAGTATGCTTATAGAAACCATAGTAATCTTTTAACAGGTTATACTTGTGCAGAAGATTATACATGAATAATAGATATGTTTGTTTCTAGAGTGAAGTTTCCTAAAGAATCTCAGATTTAACTGTAGACAGTGGATAATTTACCAAAACTTTGCATTACTAAAAATAAAACGATAGATCTATTTTTAATAAACACCCAGCAAAATTGAAAAATACTGTACAGAAATAATAAAAAGATATTTTTGTCTAAATCATTGAGAAACATGAGAGACTGTAACATTAATTTTTTTTTTTATATATTAACATTGGTTTATTGTAAGTTTAAGACCAGATCCTCAGTTCTGAAGATGTGCTTAACATATTTGTTAAGTGGATGAAGCTGTAACAGTTTGTATCACCCACATTTCTAGACTTACAGAAGACGAAATTATATATTGCTGACTTATAAATGTATAAGCAAAAGGAGAATAAAACCATTTTCTATTATGCAGGCTGTTGTTAATAAGGTACTTTGCAAACAGAGAGGTTCACTTGACTGACTGAAAATATTGACTGGACTTTTATTATTTGAGATTTGCATCATGTGAATGTCATTCAGGATCTTCAAGTCTATCAGTAAGCCTCTCCAACTGGTTCTGGCAGGAGCTGATTTACATCAGATATTCCTAGAAGCTGAATAATCAGCACTAAGAAAGGCAGGCTCAGAACTATTATCTGAAAGTAGGTTTCTCAATTTACTTGACTTCTAGACAAAAATTATCTTTCTTTGTGATTTATTTCTATAAACAATTAGTAATTTCAAAACTACACGTTTTCTACTACCGTATAATATACTGGGAACAAAAGATCTGCTTATACTTTGGCTTCAGTCATTGCTCCTTTAATAAAACCCAAGCTAAACTCCTAACAGGTCAGCAGTGTTAAGGATTCAAGGGATCCTTTTATGAAGGATAACTTCAGAAAATTGTAAACAAATATGAAAAAGGAAAAAAAAAACTGAATTTCTTAGGCAGCTAGTTGAGCAGGAGTCATTGTGGAAAACTTATTATAGAATGACCAAACAATAGCTTTTGAAAGAACTGTGGTTTTTTTTATGCACAGCAGTCCTTGACGCAAAAACGAAGTGTTGAGAGAGACAGAGCACAGCACAGAGTCAACCAGGGTCCAGGCAAGCTTGTTTGCCTGGGCTCGTTGACATATTATCCAAGTTCTGACTTGCTTCTGCAGTTCTCTTCACATAATTCTGTGTTTTGGAAATGGTTTTTACTTTGAACACAACACAGAGGTACACAGTCATCTCTGGAAGTAGGCTCAAATTAAAACGAGTTTTGAAAAGTGTCATGCAAAATAATACAAGTACTAACCTTCAACAGATAGATGGAAAACTTCTGATATTACCTGTAACTTGTTGACATAAAACAGAGAACACGATATATATAAAAGTGTGTATATATGCATGTATACACATCTTTTCAGGAGGAAACAAAACAAAACAAAACAAAACAAAACAAAACAAAACAAACAAACAAGAAACACAACCAAGCAGTATTTGTAGGGAAGTAAGATTTTTAGTTCTGAGAATCAGCCTTAGCAAGTGTTCTTAGTCATTTCTGTCTGAAATGGCCAGAGCTGCATGATAAGCATACTTACCAAAGGTCTCTAAATTTTTTCATATTTATGTAATTTATAATATTAATTCTGCATTATGTTAATCATAAATTCTCCAAATCAGAATACTTCTTTTGTTTATAGGTCATAATAAAATAGTAATCACATTTATAACCAGGTGGCACATGTTTCTCAAAGTCTGACTTTTTCCATTGTAACACTGGTCGTGCACTCACTTTTGGGGCATGTCTGAAGCAGTGTTAGTATTCTAGATTAAGAATATAACCAAATTTCTTTGGGTTTTGCCATTAATAGATAACTTGCGTTTTTAGCAGCACAATCTGTCTTGATTTCAGGAATGCTGATGGTGAGGCAAATTTAGCAGGCAACTTTTATGCCCAAGTGTGATTCATATTAACATTACCGAACCATCTGCAAGGTATTCTTTATCATCTGCAAAGAGAGGGTACCGCTCCATTCCCTCCCTCACCTCATTCTTCTGGGCAAAGAGCAAAAAAGTGCGAAGTGTAAAAAAGGAAAGAGGGTGTGTGCAATTTTTATGGTGTGTGCAATTGGATGGTTAAAATCTGGAGTCTGTTCCTGCATCAGATAGAGTTTTCGCATGTAACCATAGGAAAATAATTGAATTGTTTCATTCCTTACCATCACTCCATCTGTAAAATAATAATGATAGCAGTTCCTTTAGAAGTTAGAATTTTCCTGAAATAAATATAATAATACTTCTAAATAACTCATGATTTTTATGATTTTTCTCTTTTGAATTTGGAATGTTTTCACTAATTGGTATTTGTCGGTGCTTTAAGTTGTAAGACGACATCAGCCAGACATTTGCTGTGTTGATCTAATTCACTCAAAAATTATAAACTGGGAATGTACAGTAAAAATACAGATAATATTGCAATAACCAATAAAAGTTAATTTTGTTTTATAGCCACTCATCCCCACATTATTGATTTACTTGCTTAATTACCAAATTGTAAAGAAACATATTTCAAGGAAATAGCCTGCTTTTTGGACTTCAGAATGTACAGTTCTCATTTTTTGCCCTTAGCACACATAATGTTTAAACTGTGGTTTCAGAACTTATTCTTTCAGACACAGTTTAAGGTTCAGAAAAATCTGTAGAAATTTCTGTGTAAGATAAACATCACAGCTTATACCCATCTAATTGTCAGCTTCTTATAGATGCTTGGTATTATTGACCAAAATAGAACAATAAAGAGATTCAAACCCATTAATATTGCAGTCACCATCCAAAGAACGTTGAAGAGAGTAAAGGCACAGACTATGAAATAAATACCATTACAAAGACAGTTATTATACAAAAATCAATGCTGTTTGTTTATATGTTTCATTCTTAAAATGAAAGCAAAAGATAGTAATATATATATACCTCAGGAAGAATTAGGGCAAGATGGAAGACTTACTTTTGTGAGAAAAAAAATAATAAATCTGTTTTACATTAATATTAATATTTATATTATATTCTCATTTGTAAATGGCAGCACCTTATGAAATATGTCCTGAGGATTATTTGATGTCAATGGTGTGGAAAAGGACCCCAGCTGGGGACATGGCATTCAATCGATGTCCTCTCAATGCCACAGGTACAGTATTACTTCGAAATTACATGATAATAATAAAAAGAGAAAAATCTTTTGCTTTTTATTCTAGAAATAATCACTAGACTCATACATATGTATACATGTGTATATATATATATATGAATATACATATAGCCTACATATTTACATATCCATGTGCATGTAGCATATACATGTACCTATAATATACTTTGTCTCATAGCATACATTTAAGAATGGGTTTGTGATGTGTATGTATGCTTATATGTACACACATGCATATATGTTTGTCTATATGCATTGTAGATAGAGAGAAAGCTGACAAATCTATTTGATAGGACCTATCAGGCAAACTGATGAAAATGAAGCAAAACATAAACATCTTTTTAATTAAAAAGCAATGCTAAAATCCCAGCAAGTGAACACTGAAATGTTTTTCAGAATCTTGTACTACTCTATATGCAGATAATCATTGAATGAAATTGTTTCTGTGTGTCCTTTTAAAACAGCATGGAATGTAGTTTAAATATGCTTCATTCTTTTCAATTGGTCTCACATATATAAATATTTTCTGTCTTCTTTGTGACTTACAGGCACCACTAGCAGACGCTGCTCTCTCAGTGTTCATGGAGTGGCCTTCTGGGAACATCCAAGCTTTGCTAGATGCATATCAAATGAGTACAGACACTTGCAGCATTCAGTAGGTGCAAAGCCAGCTTTAGCACTTGCTCTGTTTATTCATTACTAATCATTCATGTGAAAACAAGCTTACCTATTTACTCTCAAGTCAGATTTCTGATGAGAAATGCCAGGAGCAAAACAGACCTAAGAAAATCATTTCTATTCATATTTCATATAATTTTGATCTTATATATTCCTGGTGCTTGAGTGAAAGAAGTTTTATCTTACTGTAGAAATGGAGAAATGATTCAGACTCCTTTCTTCCATGCCCACTGTGTGAAACTTTTATAGGGGTTAGAAGGTAAGACATATTTTGGTTTATTAGAAAATGAGATGTGAATAAATGAGATTTACTGGAAGAGTGACCCACTGAGTAAAAAGTACCTTGAATTCTGTAATTGCACACAAGGAAGTCAGAAACGATATTTCTTCCTGCTATTGAATTTAGAAATTCACCTTCAAATTTAACAAAGAAAAATGATTGTAGGGTGAAGCTATTGCAATGTCTTGGAAAAAGTAAAATAAATCTAGATAAAGGATTTTTTTTTTTTCAGCATGCTTAACAAAAATTTTCTTTGCAAAGCATATGTTACAAACACTAAAATATACTATATCTATTATAGACACTTATGTATGTTAAGAAGCAGAGGAACAGCACAAAGCTGCACCAGGGGAGGTTCAGATTAGACATTAGGAAAAATTTATTTACTGTAGTCAAACACTAGAACTGGCTTCCTAAAGAGGTGGTTGATGCATGCCTGTCGATGTTCAAGAGCTATTTGGATAATGCATTCATTAATATGCTTTAATTTTTGATTAGCCCTGAAGTGGACAGTTGGAATAGATGAAGGTCCCTTGCATAGGAACTGTTGTATATACTGCCTAAATATGCTTTTATTTATGTATTTAATATATTGCATATACTACATTATAAATATACTACTATGGTATATGCAAGGTTAAAATAGAATTGCTACATTCTATTTCCACAAATGAGCATTCAGCCAGGTTAATATTTTGGTGGGAAGAACGCCTTTGAAAATTGTCATGGACAGTGACTTTTGCTTGCATCATATATTTTCTGACATTCTTATATACTCTGACTCCTTTTCCAAAGGCCACTGCTCCATTAGTCATTCAGCAGAGGGGCATTAATACAGCTATGTGCTTCATAACTTCCTAGTCTCATCCAAGTGCAACATTTGAGTGCCATGTTTAAATACCTTTGTTGGCTTGAAAAGAAGCAATGTTGTTATTCCTCAAATCTGTCTTGCCACTTGGAGGAGATCTTCATGAATTTCCTTGAGTTGCACTTCTGTTTCAGTAGATTTTATATTATATTAGACTTTATTGACTCCCATATATTAGACTTTTTTGACTCTTTCAAACATTATTTTTAAAATAACACAGAATAAAGTTCTAAGGCAATTTTCTCCACAGCAAAGACTGCAAAGAAACTTTTATATTTTGCTGTCTGCATGTTGCTCTATCCTTTTAGAGTTCACACTAGGAAAAAAAATAATAATAATTAAATGGCTGCATATATTTTGGTTTTGATATTTTTTGACATTTTATTCTTTCATGACAGCTGCATATAGCTTGTCTATACATAGTCTTATATATGGGCATTGACAGAAATACATTTGTATTTCATTTGTTTAGAAGGTGTATGTTTGTACATAATGTAATAAAGGTAATGTCCATATTATTATGTACATAATGTAATAAAGGTAATATATATATATACTTTTGAAAAATAATGATATATTGCAGAAAAAAAATATATCACATTTTGCAATTGAAAAATTGAAATTTAATATTTTTTTTTTGAGCTGGTATTTAAAAGCAAATTATTTCTTACTTTTTTTTTTTTTTATTCCTTGTTATTTTTGTATTTAAATCTTCAGAAATATTTTAAAGGATGTATTTATCTTAACATGGCTGAATTTCCTTTTGGAGTTTTCCTCTGTTCTTACCATTTTAGGTTTCACAACCACATTTATTCACAGCATTGATCCTCATTCCACTGATTCTTTATTGATATTCAGCCTTTATTTTATGTGGTGTTGGTAGAAGTCATTCATAAACAACACAACCAGTGGGAAATACTTTTTCATGTTATTTAGTGGTATGACTTACCTGGCTGACTTTTGATGATGCATTGATGTTTTCTGAAGAGCTGCAAGTCTGCCTGACAGAAAGAGGTCATTGTTGAACAATTGAAGGCATCCATATCAGATTTATCTATTCTTCTATATTTCCTTTTTCAAAATATTAAATATGATTAGACCATACCGTGAAATAATCTTTTGCCAAAGAACATTTAAAAAAGCTTCTTTAAAGTTATGCAAGCATCTAAAAACCATCTTATTGCTGTACAACATGTCAGACTAGTTTATATGCATACAAATTAAAGGAGAAAATTTGATTTTTTTATACCTGGGAGTTGCTCACAAAGAAAATCTGCTTGTCTTACATCTTGTTGCTTCTCAAAGTGAACAACATAACTTATTTAAAGAATCATAGAAAAATGAGGCAAAGACTTATAAGGTCATTGGCCTGCAATGTAGGCTTGTCCCCCCACGATACATATGTCAGCTCTACAAATCCCTGAAAATAGATCTTTATAAGGAAGCTGCTGACAGACGGTGTTGCTATAATAAATATATGTGCTTATGAAAGCATTTATGAGATGCTTCAGTGTGCTTAACTTACAATAATGTTATTTTCTAACTTGGAACAGGTACGATGGGGGGGTGTCACACTTTTGTGCATGTTCCTATGAGTCTGAGATGAAAAACTTTCGTTTCTTATCTGAAATGCATAAAATAGTAATGGGTGTATAGTCTTCAAATATGGTGTTTATAAAGTTGATTTAAAGCAGCTGATGTACATAACACACCGACAATACATAATGTGTTAAAAGCATGCCCACCTGGAGGAATACAGAGAGATCTTTTTGCCCTCCAAACACACCATGTAGGATCCAGAGCCAGCCCAAAAGTCACAGAGCTGAACTGTGCCCAAGCAAATGTTCTTTTATGAAAAGCATGTCATATACTGGGATCCAAAGTACACAGATTCTGGACTGGAAACTTACAATTATACTAGTAAATAAGTGTCCAAGCATTAACATAAGCATTAACATAATCCGTGCAGTCATCTGCACTGTTTAATTGTTTATCTCTTAGCATATTCCCTGACATGATTTAAGACCATACCAGCAAGCACTCTTCCAAACAACAACTAACATCATTTACAAGACAGCATGGCAGAGAGACCATTCCCAGCAGGTAATAATCCCATCTTTCTCTTGGAGAATGAAAGGAAAGAGAATTTAGCTTGAGGGATACAAGCTGGCTTCACTCATTGGCCTCAGTTCTAGACAGTATCCCTGAGGCTTTTTTTTATCTACTTTTATTTATTATTTACAGTAAAAACATGTTATATTTTGCCAGTTTGGACTGAAGGCAGAGAATTTCAGAGCTTCATGTATTCATCAGTAAGACTGATGGAGTACTGTATGCAGTTATAGGCTCCCCAGTACAGAGAGTCATGCACATTCTGGAGAGAGTCTAATGAAGGGCCACGAAAATGATTAAGGGACTGGAGGCAGTGGACACGAACTGCAACACAGGAGGTTGTGTCTGAATGTCAGAAGACACTTCTTTACTGTGCAAGTGACTAAGCACTGGCACAGGTTATCCAGAGAAGTTGTGGATTCTCCATTTTTGGAGATCTTCAAAAGCCGACTGGACATGGTCCTGGGCAAGAGTTTCTAAGCGGTGAGGTTGGATCACAGAATCACAGAATGACCAAGGTTGGAAGGGACCTCTGAAGATCGTCTAATCTAACCCCCCTGCCAAACAGGATCACCCAGAGCACATTGCACAGTATGGAATCCAGACTGGTTTTGAATATCTCCAGAGAAGGAGACTCCACAACCTCTCTGAGCAACATGTTCCAGGCCTCTGTCACCTTCACAATAAAGAAATGCCCTCTCATAACCAGCTGGAACCTCCTGTACTTCAGTTTGTGCCTTTTGCCTCTCATCCTGTCACTGGGCACAACTGAAATGAGATCAGTTCCATCCTCTTGACATGCTCCCCTCAGATATTTATACACACTGGTGAGGTCTACCTTCAGCCTTCTCTTTTCCAGGCTAAACATGCCCAGTTCTCTCAGCCTGTCCTCACACAACAGTGCTCCAGTCCTCTCATCATCTTCTCAGCCCTCCTCTGAACTTGCTCCAGTAGTTCTATGTCCCTCTTGTACCGTGGAGCCCAGAACTGGACACAATGCTCCAGGTGTGGCCTCACCAGGGCTGAGTAGAGGGGGAGGATCACCTTCCTTGACCTGCTGGCAACATGCAGCCCAGGATACCGTTTGCCTTCTTGGCCACAAAGGCACATTGCTGACTCATGATCAGCCTGTTCTCCACCAGGACTCCCGGCTCCCTCTCTGCAGAGCTGTTCTCCAGAAGGTCGTATCCCAGCCTGTACTGGTGCTTGGGGTTATTCCTCCCTAGGTGCAGGACCCTGCACTTGCCCTTGTTGAACTTCATGAGGTTCCTCTCAGCACAACCCTCCACCTTGTTTAGGTCCCTCTGAATGGCAGCACAGCTGTCTAGAGTATCAGCCACTCCTCTGAGCTTTGTACCATCAGCAAACTTGCTGGTGGTGCACTCTGTTCCATTGTCCAGGTCATAGATGGATAAGTTGAACAACGCTGGACCCAGTACTGATCCCTGGGGGACACTACTAGCTACAGGCCTCCAACTAGACTCCACACCACTAAGCACAACACTCTGAGCTCTGCCATCCAGCCAATTATTAATCCATCTCACTGTCCACTCATCAGGGCCGTAGTTCCTGAGCTTGCTTATGAGGATGTTATGGGAGACGATGTCAAAAGCCTTGCTGAAGTCAAGGTAGACCACATCCATCACTTTCCCTTCATCTACGCAGTTAGTCATCTCACCATAGAAGGATATCAGATTGGATAAACATGATTTCCCCT